AGTGAAAAACAATGTAAGGGTTGTTGGTGGCATTCACCAAGCAGCTGCAGAGGGTGGAGTGCCAACTCTGGGCCTGAAAAACAAGCACTGAGTGCTGGGATTGCATTGTAATGCAAGTTTGGGGCAAGAAGCAGTGGCTGCAGAACTTTCACATGCAAACGGCCACCCACATTCCTGCGCGTGTGCCCAGCTCTCCCCAGCCCCCCAACACGGGGGCACCAGAATGAGAGCTGCATTGACAATGGAGAAGGGAGCAGCAATCACTGGAAGCTTGCAATGCTGAATTGCAATCAGTCAGCGGGAAATCACTTTGGAAGTGGAAAATCCACAGTGGGGGCCATTGTCTGGCAAGTAGGCAGGGCCATTAATCGTACCCTACTATGCAGCACGAGGACTCCCGGCAATGTGCAGGACATAAGGGAGGGATTGGAGCAATGGGGTTCCCAAACTGCGGTGGGGCAATAGACCGCATGCATATCCTTATTTCGGCACCAGCTCACCCTGCCATGGAGTACATCAACAGAAAGGGCTACTTTTCTATAGTTATGCAAGAGTTGGTGGATCATCGGGGATGCTTCACCAACCTCAGTGTGGGCGGATCAGGGAAGGTGCATGACGCTCGCATCTTTAAGAACACTGGACTTTTTAAAAAGCTGCAACCAAGGATGTTGTTTCCAGACAGGCAGATTACCATTGGCAATATTGAAATGCTAATAGGGATCCTGAGGGATGCAGCCCACACCCTTGCTCGCGAAGCCATACACCCCCTGCTCCCCATCAACAGCACCAAGGAAAGATTCAGCTACTGCTCAGCAGGTGCAGAATGATAATTGAATGTGCTTTTAGTAAATTAAAGGAACGCTAGCGGTGTTTACCCACTAGAATGGATTTCAGTGAGAAAAATACCCGAACGGCTATAACTGCCTGTTGTGTTCTGCATGATATCTGTGAGGCAAAGGGGAAAAAGCTGCCGCCAAGGTGGAGGGCGGATGTAGAGCAGCTCTCTGCTGACTTTGAACAGCCAGACATCAGGGCTCTTCCAAGAGCCCAGCACAGAGCTATGCGGTGGGAGAGGCTTTGAAAGAGCACTTTAAGTCAGTTACAGTAATGTTCTAGGCTGCTTTCAAGGACTTGTGTCTGTCTTGTGTAATATACATTACATATTGGTGGGTCTTTGCCTACTGGTATCTATTCTGTTGAGCCTGGAGCTTTGGGTAAGAATTGTGTTCGCTTGCTGCACATTTATAAATATGGCTGGGTGTTTTCCTGAAGCTATAAATTCAGTGGTGCTTGATGTGCATTTACAAGTACGATGTGCTTTAAGTACCACTATGCATTCTGCAATATTTGTTGTGAATAAAGATCATTTGATTCTCCAAAACTAGAACTTTGAGTGAAAAAAAAGTGCAGAAAATCTGTGTATAAAAAACAAAACAAAAAAAACCCTGTACAATACTATACAAAATTTTAACAAAACTTAATGGGGTCAAAATTTAAATTAAAAAGGAGGTACAAATGTATATCCATTTCAGTAAACAAATGTAGTCCATTGTGGTTACATGTACACCAGTCATGGTTCTCACAGGTCAGTATATGTGAAGCTGTGGTTTTCCTTGCTGTCCCCCAGCGTGGTGTGCTAGGGGGTCCAACTGCATCCCATGATGCCACATGGACTACTGGGGGTGTAAGAAGCAGTGACCATGGAATTCTCCAAGGACTGCAAAGGGTGGGAAATCCAGGATTTTTGGACCTGCCAGTCAACCAGGATCTGAAGCATTTGGGTTTGGTGCCTGAAAAGACGCATTACGTCCTGGTGCATTTCTTGCTCCTTGACTGGGACTCTAGGGCCTTTTTCCTGTTCTCGCTGTCTTTCTCCAGGCTGTCGGTCACACTGACTCTCCAAGCCCTTTGTTCGTGGTACAATGCAGCACTGGCTTGCAGGATTTCACAAAAACATGTCCTCCTCAGTCCTCCTCCTCATCAGTGTCAGGCATTCTGTGGATGTGGAGGGGGCATCCTTCAAGGCTACACTGCCACAAGCTGCTGATAAAAATAGAAATATGCACCACTGGATTTACGGTCACAACGGAAAAGGAAAGAAACATTTCAAAACTCCCTTCCCATATTCCCATAAATTCTTTTAATAAGTTATGCTTATTGACACTTCAGTTTTGGAGTGTCTCTGCAAAGCACTGCTCTCCAGCCCCATCCATGGCAAGTATGGCCTGCCAGGGATGGGGGGGGATGTGGTGGTTTCTGTTGCATGAAGCTATAAAATTACAGCTCTAATCCATGGGTTCAAGTATAGGGCAATGGCAGTGAATACTGGCACTAGTTTTCACAAGATGTGGTGATTTTGGCTTTGGAGGGTCACAAAAGCACAGAGAACACAGCTTGCTACAGGCATCCTCATTATCCTAAACATGAAATAGACATTATAAAAAAAAAAAAAAAAAAAAACCCCTGGGCCCTCACACTGGCTTTTCCCCTCCACCTTTATGTTCATATACACTTCCAGAAACTAAATGCCAAAGATTATGTTCATCCAATGTTCACAATCAATCGGACCACCTCCCCTCCCATTCATGCTCACATAACAGCCTTGAGGCAACTACAGCAATTGCCTACGTAGAAAAATAACATTGGGAATTTATTGCATTTTCAGTGATCTTTAATACAAGGTCGCAACTAGAAACAGACAGGAGAATCAGCACTGTGTGAGCAGACAACTCTCTGCCAACCACCAGGAAGTGCTCCATGGACCACAGTTCGGGAACCTCTGAGTGAAATAATATAGAGTCATAAATTCCAAGGCCACAAGAGACCATTGTGACCTAGTCTGAACCCCTGTTTAACACAGGCCATAGGACTTCCCCTGAAATAATACCTAGAGCAGATCTTTTAGAAAAACATTAAATCTTGATTTAAAAATTGTCAGTGATGGAGAATCCACCATGACCCTTGGTAAATTGTTCCAATGGTTAATTATTCTTATTATGTTAAAAATTCCTTATTGCCTGTCTGAATTTGTCTAGTTTCAACTTTAAGGCATTAGATTGTGTTCTATCTTTGTCTGCTAGATTGAAGAGCCCATTATTAAATATCTGTTCCCCATGTAGGTACTCACAGACTGTAATCAAGTCACCCTTACCGTTCTCTTTGTTAAACTAGATTGAGGCCCTGGAGTCTATCGCTATAAGGCAGGTTTTCTAATTCTTTAATCATTCTCATGGCTCTTCTTTGAAGCCCCTCCAATTTATCAACATCTTTCTTGAACTTGGACACTGGAACTGGACATGGTATATCAGCAATGGTTGCACCAGTGCCAAAAACAGAGGTAAAATAACCTCTCTATTCCTACTCAAGATTCCACTTTATGGATCCAAGGCTCGCATTAGCATCTTTGGCCATAATCAGAGGGGTAGCCGTGTTAGTCTGGATCTGTAAAAAGCAACAGAGAGTCCTGTGGCACCTTTAAGACTAACAGATGTATTGGAGCATAAGCTTTCGTGGGTGAATGCCCACTTCGTTGGATGCATAATGTTGCACTTAGAGCTCATGTTCAGTGATTATCCACCACAACCCCTAAATCTTTTTCAGAGTCACTGCTTCCCAGTACAGAGTTCCCCATCCCGTAAGTATGGCCTATATTCTTTGTTGGGTGGCCTACAGATACACACACACACACTTCTGAGGAAATGTCAATTTTCACAGGATGATTCTGCCTACTTGTACGCTTAACAATAATTTTCACAGGTGCTTGCAAGACCCTGTTTACAAGTCATCAAGTCATGTTGGGATGGAGGGTATTTGTGAAACATCATTACACTAACATATGGTTTTACAGGCCAATGGTATTTCGATGTCACATAATGTTTTTCCAAAATGGTAGCATGTTGTATAGGTTTATCAGGACTTCCAAGTGCGTCCTACCCAAAACACTCCCTAGAGCAGTAACACTGCAAAATGGGTCTGTGCTTTCTGCCAATTATATTACAGGGGAGCTAGTGCTGTGTCCCTAATGCCACACCCCTCTTCTTTGGGTTGAACCCCCAGCTAATCTTCCCTCTTCTGTGCACCCCATATTCATCCTGCTGTGCTCCCTCTCAATTGCACCCACATGCACACCAGATGACCCCCTCAAACAAATTCTCAGCCCCACTGCAGTCCCCATACTGCAGTGCACCCTCATGGTAGTGCCCGTGCCCCATATGCTCCAGTGCACGCCCACTGCAGTCCCCAAATCATGGTGCACTCCTTATAGCAGTCCCCATACCCCAGTGCACCCTATGGTAGTGCCCCTAGGGTGACCAGACAGCAAATGTGAAAAATTGGGACGGGGGTGGGAGGTAATAGGAGCCTATATAAGAAAAGACCCAAAAATCGGGACTGTCCCTATAAAATCGGGACATCTGGTCACCCTAAGTGCCCCATATGCTCCAGTGCACCCCCCACTGCAGTCCCCAAATCATGGTGCACTCCTCATAGCAGTCCCCATATCCTCCAGTGCACCCCCATTCGCAGTCCCCAAACCCCGGTGCACCCCAACAGTGATCCCCATAACCCCCGTGCACCCCAACAGTGATCCCCCAGCCGTGCCCAACCCCTCCAGTCCCATTCCCCAGCGCGCTCTGCAGCCCCCTGTCCCCGTCCCGGGGGGGCCGAACGGCGCGGCGCGTGTTTCCCGCCGGCGGCCGCTCGGAGCGGTTTCCGGGCGGCGCTGGGAGGCGAGGGGCGGAGGTGGAGACGCTGCAGGCGCACGTGGGCCGGGGTCCCGGCGCTGCAGCGCGAGCGGGCAGTGAGTGGCGGGGGCCTGTGGGCTCTGGGTGGGTCTGCAGGGCGCGGGGTCGGCGCTCTCGGGGGGCAGGGCGGCGGGGCTGCCACTCCCGGGTGGGACTTGCTGGGGGTGCGGTGCCAGGCTGAGGCTGGCACTCCCTGGCGGGGACAGGTCTCTGTAGATGGGGCTGGCGTGGTACTCAGGGGCTGGCGAGCCCTGGCTATGGGGTGAGGGAGAGGTGTCATAGAAGGCTTATCTGTATGGAAACCACAGGGAAGTGATCACCCATAAACCATATTTCAAATCCAGAGTGTGCGGTTATCAAGGTTTTGCTGTCTAGGTGAATCCAAAGCAAAGCAAACTGTCACTTGCTGTGTATTTCTGTAAGCGCCTTATTATACACCGACTTCCCTGCAGACTAAGTGCAAAGCCTATGTTGTGTCTCTTCTGTGGATAAACAGAGACTGTCTGCATCCAGGCTTATTTCACCAATATAAGCATTAGCTGGTGTGGCAAACAAATTAAAAAATATATATTCCTATAACATATGATTTATGCATCTTATTGACAGAAATGGTTGTTGCTTTCGAAGTGTGATTGATTTCTGATGACAGAATGGCTAAAATAAAGACCAGAGAATCAAAAGCTTCAACAAGCATCCCCACCGCTAAACCTGAGAATCTAAAAAAACAGCACAGGAACAACAAGAACAAAATATTCTGGAAAAACAAAGTCAAGCAGATCGGAAAGAAAAAACAAAAGGACACCAAAGTTGTGGGAGTGCTGCCCCCAAAAGCTCCTCAGGAGTTCTCCTCTAACTGGAAGACCCTGCAAGAGGTCAGTGACAGTGACAGTGACATCCAGGAGTTTAGTACCATGCCCCAGTGGGGTAACCCATAAACAGTTATGTTCTAGTGAAAATCTGCAAGGGGGATTGAGTGTTTGAGATCCCCACAGGTGTTAGTTCAGTGCGTTGTCTTTCTTTTGAATTGTAGACTTAGGTACTGTATATAAAGACATGACATGTTGAGGAGTGTTTTGGCTAAGAGGTCACAGCATGTTTTATGCAAATAAAGTTTGCTGTGAACTCTTGAAACAAAAAATGCTTTGCTGGTTCAGTAGTCAAATTATGGAATTATCCAGAAGTGGAAATAAGTATCTGAAATACCTTGGTCCATGGGGATCTAGTAAGTTTCACAGCCTCTTTCCTTCTGGTCTGATTTGAGAATTATAATAGTACGGTTATCAGTATTAACCTGTTGTAGGCCTGATTGAGGAAGAGGAGTGTGTAAGGAGACTTAAAGATTCAATTTGAAATTGACTGAAAACTGCAGTTTTCATTGTACAAGAAAAACGTGTCCAGTTCTTAATAATAGATAGGTGTCCACATCACTAAAATTGTTGGCATTTATTGGCCCCTTTCTCAGTAATGTCAGCAGAGAGATCAATGACTTAATGGACCATGGAGAATGAACAATTCTTTCACCCCTTGAAATGGTGGGGCTCAGTATGGGGGAATCTTGCATGACTATTGCCTACATTTGTACCTTATTGTAGGTACATGTAGAACTTCCAACTCCAGGGTTGGACATGCATGGAAATTGAGTAGTAAATTCACAAGAGAGAATGTAAATGCGGTGTTGGTGGGTTAGGGTGGGGTGGAGTGGGAAACTGCAAAGTTTAATGCTACAGTAAATTCTGTGGGGTTTCTTTGGGTCATATTAGCTGCTGAAACAAAAGGCCACCAGCTTGGATAAGTCCCTTCCTGTATCCCAAACATATTCCAAGAAGCACACGACCAAAAAGGGAAACGTCAAAGGAATTCCAGCTATAAATGGAGGCGGGAATATGGGAAAATTCAAATCTGTAAACAAGATGGACAGTGATCCTGCCAAAGTTTGTGTTCCTTTGGCTATCCCGAAATCAGAGAGAACTGCATGTGACAAGAATTCGAGTGATGGCAAGGGAAACAGAAAGGAGCACAAGAAAAGAAAAAATGGCAATATTGAGAAGGAACAAGGTGACATAAAACATAAGAGGAGGAAAGCTGAAGAGCACACAGAGCAGCCGCTAGCAGAGTGAGTATTTCAGGCCTCATGTTTACATATGTAGGTGGCTGTAACTATTCTAATTGCAGTTGATTAATTTGAGACAGAGGGTGATGCAACGCTGTGTTTTTCCTCAAAGGAGGAAGACCCTCTTTGTTCCTTATACCACCTCCCCTTAAAATGTCACGTCTTCCCTACTGTACAGGCTGTAAGTTATTGCAGCTATCTTCATGGACACTACATGGTTCCCCTTAGAGCAGAGGGTCCCAAACTGTGGGGCGCACACCCCACATTGGGGGGGGCATGACTCTCCTCCTCTGCCCTCAGCTGTGGCCCCAGCCTCAGCTCCGTTACCCCTGTCTGCATCAGGGGCACAGACATGGGGCGGGGGGCAAGGTACACTGCCTTCAAGGGTGTTAGGACCATTGCTTAATGACCAGAGGAGGCAGCTATTTGGCAATGCAAGATATTTTGCACTTTGCCAGTGCTTTGCCTCAATAGCACTTCCTACTTTATCCACCTAGGGAATAAGAGACATGGGTTGAAAATGAAACCTGCATCTCGTCTATTACAGTATAGATGTTTCTCTTCCCTTCCCACCTGAACGGACAGATTTCTGTACCATAGCCCTGTTTTGGAGGTGCCTGTTCATACAAACATCCCAAGCTATCATAAACTAAAAGGTTTAGGGAAAAGAAATCCACAAATCTTGGCCCTGGACATGAATGAAAAAAGAAAACCTGCAGTCTTGAAAGAGCTCCACTGAAATGCTGAAGGAGAGGAAAAGACTGGTGGAAGAGCACCTGGTGACCAGCAGATTTAGACCTGGGAACTAAGAAATCACTGGTACCTGAAGGGGCAGAATGGACAGGGGAATAGATTGGTTGTGTGGCTGGACAGAAGTTCAGACACAGATACTTCTAATCTTATATTGTGTACCCTGAGGAACACAGTATAAGATTACAGTAAAAATAATTCCACACTTTCCAGGCTAACCATATGGGACAGACTAACCCAAGTCCTCTGATATTTGAGTAAAACTACGTGGTCTACAGAATCTGACTGTTGGACTAGTTGGCACTGATTTATACTAATTAGTTGACTCCCTGCTTTTATAAACAGGCTTAGCCAAACTGTCAAAGATAAATCGGCCTTTTAGACAGTACATTTTTAAAACAATGTTACAATGTAATTTTATCTTTGCCTGGCAGGGCCGACATCTGGTTTGATGGTGTAGATCCAGAGGATATTGAAGCAGCAATAGGACCTGAAGCAGCAAAAGTTGCTAGAAGAAATATGGGAATTGAAGAAGGCAAATCACCGCTATCTATGGAACAGGTGCTGGTTAAAGAAAAGGCTTTTGCAGGGTAGGTTGTATTTCTAACATAAAGTGTATATACGGTATATAGAGGTGTCAAACATTTTCTCTTTCTTCCAATTGTGGCTTCCAAACACAAACAGAGTGTAAACTGATGTCTTCCTGAGTCTGCAAACAGACTGAAACTACTCTGAGATGTTAAGTGCCCCATTTGTTTTAACTGGTGGCTAACTTGTACATCTAGAAGTTAGAAGTATATGATCATAGCAAAGGCTTTCTAACTCTGGTATCCTCTTTTAGGCTGACAAAAGCTGTAGCCATGGACTGTGAGATGGTGGGAGTGGGGCCGCAGGGTGAAGACAGCATCCTGGCTCGTGTATCCATTGTGAACCAATTTGGAAAGTGTATTTATGACAAATATGTCAAGCCTACAGAAAAAGTGACCGATTACAGGACAGCTGTTAGCGGCATACGGCCCAAGGACATAAAGAAAGGTGAGTGATCTTTCCTAGCACATTCCTTAAGAGAGAGGATCCAGTTGAGCACCACAGAAACATCCCTGACTGAGTTACTGCTAAGCTATTTTTGGGCCTGTTTAATTCTATTTTTGTGTAGGAAATAAAACAAACAATCGCAATCTCAGCACAACCTAAAATATCTAAATGAAAGGGAACTCTACAATAGATCATGAATCAAAATACATTTGATGCTTTCTTGCAGAGTGATCATTATTGCCCCTAGTAGAGTGTAACTTCTGAAATCATTGCCTACAAAAATGCAAGGGTGATCTTAGGCCAATAAGTAGAAGTCTGTTTCTCGATTGACTGCTATTTTTGTTCGCGTGTGTGCCTGTTCTGCCATCTTCGAGTCTGTAGTTATGAGCAAGCTGGGGATTACTATGTACAAGAGTTCTGCATTCTCCAATACCTTGGGTCCCAAGGAAGTGCCTGCCACATAAAATACTCCACTTCCTAATGCTGTCTCAAACTTGATCTTTGTTTTGTCTCTTACTGAGAATGTGTTGCATTTTTAGGAGCGGAGTTTAAAAGTGTTCAGAAGGAGGTGGCTGACATCTTGAGAGGAAGGATTTTAGTTGGGCATGCTGTCCACAATGACTTAAAGGTACGTGGTTAGATATTTATTGCTTTGAAGCCCCCATCTTCAGTGACTGACTTGTCACCCCAGAATGTTAGCTGAAGCATCAGGTTAAAACAACTCCACTCTCTGGAACCATAGGTTCAGATTGCAGCTGGTCCATTCAGTCTTTTGTCATTCCAGAGTAGGTTAAAGTACAGCATCATTCAGCTATCCAATGACTGAGTCTTTCAGATGAGACCTTAGGATCTTCTGTTTTTATCTGCTCTTTATGGACATTAAGGCTCTCATGGCACATTTTATATAGTTTTAACATTTCCTTCTAGTCTAGGAATCAGCAAGTTGCTCAAGTTATTTGCATATTCAGGGAAGGCCAAAGCACACTCTATGAAGTTCTACAGTGAGGCCAGTGGCATCATTAATACAGAGACACTCGGCTACTTGCATCAGACTGGAGTATTCCGTGCTGGGGCATACAAGCTCCACAGGCAGCACCTCCCGAAGATGGCACCATCTGAGCCAGGTTACGCAAATTGGTTGGGGCTCTTACTCTGGCAATCGTACTTGTTCATGTTGTGAACTCCTTTGAATCGATGGGAGTGGTGCACTCAGCTGTATGAAGTATCCTGCTACTGCATTCTTTACAATGGAAATATTTTTCTTTCAGATCCTGTTTCTTGATCATCCTAAAAAGAAAATTCGGGACACACAAAGATACAAGCCTTTCAGAAAGGAAGTCAAAGTAAGAAACGTGCAGAAAATAGTATCTTGATTCACTAACATTTAGTGCTAGTGCAAGGCAACAAGATCTAGAGGAATGATTCCCCCCCCTGCACATTTAGTCTCCAGTCCTGGTTCTGCCACTGACTCTTTGTACGAGCTTGGGCAAGTCCCTTCACCCCTCTGCTTTAACTGTCTTTATGTAAAATGAGGGTATGTGACGCACTGCCATTTATGAAAGTTAGCTAGTTTAATGTATTTAGACATAGGTTTGGAAGGGTTAGATTTTTTCAGTAAATAGCGGTAAACTTCGATTTCACTGTACAAACAAACTGAAAAAATATTTCCATCAATAACTGAAATTTACAGATAAGCAAAGGAAGAAAAATGCTGTTTAAGAACTTTAGAGTTTGATTTAAGGATACAGTGGAGTCGCATCATAGGCGCATTTAACTTACACGATTTTAACTATATGCGCTCGGCAAAACAAAACAAAAAAGAGAAAAATAACAATTTAATACTGTACCTGTTGTGCGGGCGATTCCACCCGCCATTCCACTCAATGAGCGTTTGACTATACGTGATTTTCGCCTTACGCGCTGACTTCAGAACCTAACCGCCGCGTAAGATGCGACTCCCCTGTATTTACTTTATATATTTTGACATGTGATAGTGAAAATTTGTGTTTTAATGGTTATAAAGCTTTAACTTTTTTGAATCTCAACATGTACGGTCATTAAATAATTGTCTGATCCCCTATAATTTCCTGCAACTGTGAAAATTTAAATGTATACAAATTTTTAAAAAGCTTAAAATAAACATTGATTTTTATTACTAAAAATTATTTTAAAAAGTTGAATTCTGCCAAGCCTATTATACAGTGTTTGGAATGTGTAAAGTACTAAGTAACTTTCTGCCAATCAAGATTACCAGTAATACCCATGCACAGCAAATTCATTGGCTTTCCCATTTCCTGGAACTCAAAACAGGAAGTTGGGTCTTTCTATCATCTTTCTGGGCAGTCAAATAAGATAATATGGATCTATATATAGAAAATACTGGGTTCTTCTATTTTGTGATATTGTTAGCTCACCTTCCTGACTGGAAACATCTGTCACGCAAGATCCAAAGGTTTACCTTTGAAGTGACAGGTAATATTTTAAATTTCAAAACAAGACACCCAATTTTTCCTTTCTCCCTCTCACTAAAAGCTTAAAAAAGCCATGGTTGATGAGTCTATAGTCATATGTGCTGCTGTAAGTGATATCACTGTCTATGTCATTCTTATAATGCTGAAGGGATTTACAAGAGAGGAGGTTTGAATAGATCTCTCAGTGACCTGACAAATGACATCTATCTCACCAATTCATCTGTAGAAACTTAGATACACTATGCTTTAATGGGTATTCTTAAACTAAAGCCTTCTGCAAGATTTGGCTTGAGTAATTGTGTCCTTCATGCAACGGAGGAGATGCTATTTAATTTCATTGTTGGCGTAACAACTCTGTGATTCTCTTGTTTTTGCCTCTAGAGTGGACGTCCATCTCTAAAACTGCTTTGTGAGAAACTGCTGAATGTGAAAGTGCAGACATCGGAGCACTGTTCAGTACGTAAACCCATGGGTAAAATGTATTTATGGGTGGATCAACAGTGCATTGGGCTTTAGGCTCTGGGACCCTAGTAGAAGTATAACCTCATTGTCGTCTCTGTACTCATGAGATTTGGTAATCTTTATTCAGCATATCAATGTGCAATACCGGTCTGAGGAAAGTTTGTACCGTCCTTATCTGCTTCATACCAATAGCGTTAATCACCTATTTTCATGAACACTAAATATATGGAAATTGCCCATCAGCTAAATTAAGTGTTCTCTTACATGAATTATTTCAGCATCAAGAGAAACATCAAGTGAAATTAAAAAGGTTTACTTTTATTTGGGGAATAAAATGGATGAGAGGCTGTGACTACCATTAACAATGATCCTACAGCAACTTACTGCTTTCTTTCTTTAACCTGCGGCTTGTTTCATTGTCTTCCAGATTCAGGATGCGCAGGCAGCTATGAGACTATACACACTAGTGAAAAAGCAGTGGGAAGCAGCTATCAAAGCCAAACCTAAACTATAGAAAAATAAATTCTAAAACGTCAACTATTCTATCCTGTCATTTTCTGCTGTGCAGTATTTACTAGATTCAAATGGTGACTAGATTCCTATGACACTGTATGATGGCTTTTTTCTCTTGCCAACTGTATTATCCTTGAATCAGTCATGCATAATAAACTAATAGCTGTGAACAGTCCATTATAAGGAATCATATGTCTGTTCACGAACTTCTGAGGTAGAGCTAATCCTGAAAAGAAACTGTTATGCTCCAAATAAATAATCCATGGACTAAAAGCTCAATAAATACATAAAGCTCACTTAACTCCAAGACTGTAGACCTTAGTATGATTTTTATTAATCTTTTAGGAAAGTATACTATACATTAAATGTAGTTCAAAAATCCACAAAGTAAGACAGGTTCTGAAAATAACACTGCTGTCAGACTCTCAATATTGTCAGTAGTCAAAGTGGTTCTTTGTAAAGAATACAATGGAATATGTTCAAGCAGATGATGTCTATATAATACAGGCAGTATCTCCTTCTGGGGAGAAAAATCTTTTTAAAATACTTCTGAAGGAATCAAGCATTTCTACCTGAATCAGAAGACTTCAAGCCTTGTATATATAGAACAGCTTTTACCTTACTTCTGCAGTTTCAAAAGTGCTGAATCCACAAGGGTAATTATCTCCTGGGGAGAAATGTGAAAACTGTTAAATACAAGTTTACCCTGGTTTTTACTTTACAGTGTAAAGAGACAATTAATAACTATGGTACAAAAATCTATTCTGTATTTAATATATGTCCTTTTATAGGAGTTCAGACAGTATATCTCATTTGCATTTTGGGGGTCTCAATAACTTATTTCAATATTTTTAGCAAACATGTGGCCTAATTTGGACACTTTACTCTCACCCGTAATTCCTTTGTACTACAGGATTGGCTCCTAAAACTATAAAATTTACATAATCTGTCTAAAAATAAAAAAAGGACCTCTCTTAGGTTTTATACTAAAAGAATTGTTATTTTTTCAGTGGTATTTCACATGTGTAATGTGTTGTTGTTTTTTTTATGGGAATGGGAATGATAGCTAGAAAAACATTGTGGAAAGTAGTGACTTTGTACTATGAGGCAAACATTCTGGAGGAGGAGAACTATGAGCAAATTAAATTTAAGGGTAGAGGCTCTGACTATCGGTTTTGGTTGTTTGTTTTTTTAAATAACTGCTACATGCTTGATGGCAAACTACTCTATGTTAATAACTTGGTGGTTTAAGAGTGTAGGTCGCTCTAGTGCTGGAAAAACAAAGGTGGGAATTATTTTGCTGTTTAATTAATTAAACATAAAGTAATTCCCCAGGACAGCAAGCCCACGCAATTAAGTGGCTTGGGCTTTTTAGGGTTATTTAATAGATCAATAAATCCCTCTCTGCTTTGAAATATAGTTGTCTTGTTCCTATATACTTTAACCTGTATTTCTGGTATGAAAAATGTAATAAAAAATATATGCAGGCTAATGCTGGATGAAGCGGGAATAGTGTCAAACTTACATTTAATTGATTTAAGAGTATCTTCAGCATGAAGTTAGATAAACTATACTCCACCTGCTTATTTTTTTAGTACACTTAGAAATATTCTGAGTCCCCAGCCTCCAGAGTACCCTGCACCCTGAATCCACACTAAGCCCCTACCCCCACAAATTCCTGCACTATTATCTTCCTCTGGATAAGATGGATGCCTGGCATCTCCAGACAACTCCAAATGATTGATGTTTGTGCAAGCCGTAGCCAAGAAATAAAACCATTTGTACAAATTGAGTGTGCTCTTTGTTACGACACTGACTTCCACCTACCATACTGGATGTAAACTTGACTTTCATTTCAGTCAGCAGCTCCTTCATATTCTGGGAGATCATCTCTAGCACTATGTCATCTGCTGCAAAGGAACAGGGGAATCTATCATAGTTACTGTAATAAACAATGCTTGGAATAATACTTCACCTTCCATAGCTCTCACCTGACAATGGCCAAAGGGACTAGGGGGAGGGAAAGGCCCTTATGTTAGGAAACAAGAATATCATAAAGAAGTTTGAAACAAACATAAGAGGAAAAGTGGGATCAGGTTGGATGGAAATTAAAGTAAATCAAGTAAGGGACAATTGAAAGATTCCTTTGGCGTCTATAAGATGCTAATGAGCATCTGTTAGTACAATTGATATGCAAGCACAGGAACCCAGAGGCCTGGAGCTCTGCCTCTGTGTATTAATTACTTGTTCTGCAGTCGAGTGCAGAGGCTACAACAAAGGTTGGGGCCCCATTGCATTGGGTGCTGTTTAACCACATCATGAGAATGTCTCTCTGCCCTGAAGAGCTTACTGTCTAGTTTAAAATGTGCAGACAGAAAGCAGAACTAGTAGGCACGAGCAGTTTAAATGGAAGGGTCAGATGTTATTAACTTGTGGGATAAAAATGAGCCAGTGCATTATTTCTGAGGCGGGCCACACCTGAAGTTTTGTTTCCTTCCTTTCTTCTCTCTCATAAGACAAGCAAGGCTCTATGCTTATCTAGATGTTTTTATTCAAACTGCAACATACTGCCTTTCCTGCTTTACTATTTACACTTCCATGGTGAACGATCTGGAGAGAAGCAACCCCAGATGTGCAATTACTATAGTCTCGTAATAGCTCCTAACCTGAATCTGAAAACATATTTCAGGTTTCATACCACAGAAGGTGAGCTATAGCTTATTGTACAGTATTGTAGTCTGGCTGGGAACTGCAAGCAGTAATTTCCAGTCACTGTGCTGATTGACAGTGTAGAATTATTCTTGGTTGCTGTTATGATTTTATGCATTGTCTGAACAAAAAGGACTGGCCAAAGACAAGAAAGAACAAGACCTTACCGTACTGAACCATCTCATTAATCAGCATACAGATGTTCTCCACCACTTCTGGATCATCACAGTGAAAGTGGTAGGAGTCTTTGATCAGGCTTATTCCACTGCCCTTTGTATCTGTTACGATAAGTCTGAAAGCAGATAACTCTGAAAAAGAGGGACAGACACAAGTGCTACTAGGCAGTGGCAGATTTCCTGCCTTGGAAAACTATTCTGAAGCACCTTCAGATAATGTGTAGGATTGTGTAAGCAGCTGGCACTTTCTTGCAAGGCAAAACTTCTCTTTATGTCCCAGATACCCTTTGTTCATTTTTCATTAACCGCTCCTTGAGCTGTATCCTTTTTACACACTAGAACAACGTCATCACAAGGAAGTATTTTAAACACAGAGAGAGTTTACAACAGGGTCCCCCTCCCTCTGCTGATCCACCAGTTCCCTCTGACATTTATGCTTCTGTTCTTGAGCAGGAGGGGCTAATCCAGTTTTCTTGTTTGAATGTTTTTCTCCGACAGGTAGAAGGAGAAGACTGATCCAGGAGGGCAGACGTCCCTCCCAACCCCACTGGGAACCTTCAGTCTTTACAGTGTTATTTGCCTCTGATGCCCACTTGCCATTGTTAAAAACACCTTTCTGGATTGTTACCAGATAGCCTTAGGAGGCCTGCCAATGCCAAGCAGGTATTCTTCACCAGCACTGGTCTTTCTGGATTCATCCTCAGAGCATCCAACAAAAGCAGAGTTGTTGGTTCATACTGGCTTTCAGTTAAGCAGCCTGCAAAAATAGCCAGTGAAATACCCATCAGTGCTTTCAGCTTCTGCCTCCAGCTTCTACAAGGATTCCTTTACCATGCACCAAAACTAAAACGTAAGCCCTGTTAGGCCTATTTTACTATAATACAGACTGATAGAATATCTGAGCATCGTGAGTGGGTCCAGGGGCTCAGAGACAGTTATGAACCATCTGCTAGGTGAAGCTCCAGGTTCAATTCCTAGTTCCAGCCTCTCACTCCCCAGATCAGCAGAGAGTAGGAATGATGCAAAAACAACATCCTCTACTCATAGGGGTTGGGGAGGAAAGAATGCAGTGGCTAGAAGGATGGTGGCCATAATAAGGGGATTGAATGGTGGAGATGAAAATGGAGAAAGGGTAGCATGAAAATGCTGCAAGGATGTTTTCGTCTATAAAGTGATTTCGAAGAAGCATTAGTACCAGACTCGTACTGCAAAGATGTCCCTTTTAATGTACATACATAGTGATATATAGATAATACTTTTATTTTTAACATGTCATGTTCTTCCCAAGACAGTGATGACATTCATGTTAAACACCTTTCTTTGTAATACTCTACACAGCACTAATACTGTACTGGGTGGTTTTACATAGGAACAGAGAGTAACAAACCTGGGATTCTTTAGTTGTGAGAGAAGACAACTAAGACGTGACAATCTATTCTACATAGGTTCTTAAATTGTGCTCATCACTGTAGTATCTGATAGAAGTATTTACTTAACCTAGCTAAGAGTTATTACAAAATTAAACGTCATCTGAGGTTGTCAGAAAGAGACGAACTAGGGGGTGCTGGTTCAGTTAGGAGGGTAACTATGTTGCCAGCTAAAGTATAGGTATAAAGCCAGCTAAGGTACAGCAGGTTGTATTGCACCAAGATAAGTTATAGAGGATTCACTTCAACATTCATTTTAATTACTACTTAAATAACTGCTGTGTGTAATTTTGTCAGACTAACTCCTGCTGTGCATAGAGCACAGCAAGCATGAAAACTCACCCTGAAGTGTCAGAACCCAGAGGGCAGAGCAAGCCGACTCAACCACCTCTCCATCCTCACGGTGTTCTTGGAGGACTCCAGTGATAATCTGGACAGCATTTTTTAGTGATGCTTGCCCCATGTTACTTTCTGAATTAGGAAGAAAATCCAAATGCCAATATATCAAGCAGAGTTTGTTAACTCAAACATTAACACAGTGAGCAGATTAAACTGCAGGCAAACATCTTACTGCACAAAGGTATCAGAGAAGTTATGTTTTCTGTATAAAAACACACTATTGATTAGTTATATATTTGATTTATTTGATCATGCTCTAGATTCCTTCCATCAACTCTTCTTTACATTAGTAAAATAATCTTGCATTATTCCAGCTGTTTTCATCTGCAAAAGCTTTGCAAGCTTAATCCAACATGCAGACGATATACAGAAATTGCTTCACCCAAACCTAAAATGCAGCCATCTGTGGGCAGAACATAGCGCTCAGGAATGATACCTAACAGATCACACGGAGAAAAATACCAAGTTGAACCTGCAGTGGGAAATTATACATGCAGAATGCAATTGCGCACATTTGTTTTGGTTTTTTGACCTTGACAATGAGAATAACACATCCCTGCTCTTTCAAGAAGTGTCATGGACCGCCCGTGGTCAGGGCCTCAGATTTAGGTCTGGTGCAAAAGGGATCTCCCAGCAGCAGCGTAGTGCAATGCTGTGGCATTGGTTTGGCACTGACTCAGTAGAAGGAACGCCACCTGCTGGTGTTTCTTGGAGGTTTCTAGTCAAGAGTTAGCCTGATCCTGTTTCAACTGTGAGATATGACAGGACTGTAGGATAGAAATGCATGGCTGGAGGTTTTTTACAAAAATCTCTGCCTGGGAAAGCTAGGGTGTGTTGTGGGGTTATTAAAAAAGCTACTTATTTCAAAGACAATTCCCCCTCTCTGCCAATGTATCATCTAATTCACCTCCATTTGCTAGGCTTGTTTCTTAAATCAATCCAATATGCTGATTATACTTCATTTCCTCTTCTTATCACAGCACATCACATTATGTTATGGAACCTGCAGCCATATAACCCACTTTTCATTTCTGAATGTTTATAAACAGTATGCAGCGTAACATTTACAAATTGGGTCCTTACCACCACTAGGGATATTGAGACGTTCGCACTGACCTTTAGTCTGTGTTGCCCCATAGCTCATTCAGTGATGGATCTTCTAATGCTACTCAATCAAAGCTCTCAACCACATTCTTTTCTCCAACACCCCACTGTACTCAAAGTTGGGAGAAGTCAGTAAAAAGTTTCATCCCCGAGCTATAAGAATCTCTGAATCCAGCTAGGCACAGTATCTGCTGTGTTCTACTTACCATTCACAGCCAAGCTCCAAAGAATACCAGAGCAAGAAAGGCAGATCTGTCTGTTCTGAGGAAAATTGCTTATAATTGACAGAACATCTGTGATGACTCCAGCTTTCCTCAGTGCTTCTGCAGCCATTTCTAATAAGCACAGAAAAGGACATATTATAATTATATTGCCACTGCCACCACTACACAACAAATTTAAATCAAAAGGAGTCATGAAACAAGGGAATAACATAATATGATCAAGGGCAATATGAAAATGAGCAAAAGAAATGTACTGGATTCTTAATGAGAACCACATGCACACAGACTATACTAATGGTGACTGGCCTTTTTAGAACCTTCCCAATTTGGCCATCTCCTCCCATTATAGTTTTGAGCTTCATGGAAGGAACAAAAAGAGAGTTATTGAGAGGGCATCAATCACTGCCATTCAAGTCAGTCTAGCAATCCAACCAACCTAATCAACTCCAGACTTAAGAATTCATTTTGAACAATAACTTAGGTAATTTAGGTCAAAAGTGCCAAGAATCCTAGATAGCTGCCTTTTTATATTTTGTACAAGTTGAAATAAAATGTCTCAAAAATATGTTTGAGACAAGTTAGGAGAGGTAATATCTTTTATTGGACCAGCTTCTGTTGGTGAGAGAGACAAGCTTTTGAACCACACATTACTCTTCTTCAGGTCTCTCAGGCCTCTTCTCTGTCCTGAAGAAGAGCTCCACGTGGCTCGAAAGCCTGTCTCTCTCACCAACAGAAGTTGGCCCAATAAATGATATTACCTCACCCATCTTGTCTCTCTAATTTCCTGGGACCGACACAACTCCAACTACCCTGCACACAATAACGTAAAATATTTTTGGACAGTTTCAAATCTTTTTTGGACACGTTCCTTTTGCATTGATAAATCCTTCCCTAATCCTTCACAAAAATCAACCAAATACCATCATAATTAAGGCTACGATTTAGTCACAGGTATTTTTAGTAAAAGTCACGGACAGGTCACAGGCAATAACCAAAAAGTTACGGCCAGTGACCTGTCTGTGACTTTTATTAAAAATACCCCTAACTAAATCTTAGGTGCTGGGGAGGGGCGGAGTAGGGTGACCAGATGTCCCGATTTTATAGGCACAGTCCCGATTTTTGGGTCTTTTTCTTATATAGGCTCCTATTACCCCCCCACCCCGTCCCGATTTTTCACACTTGCTGTCTGGTCACCCTAGGGCGGAGGGGTGCTCCAGCAGACGCTTCTGCTCCTGGGGGTGGGGGGGTAGCCCAGGGCCCTGCCGCCGCTGCTGCTCCTGGGGGGTGGGGGCAGTCCGGGGCCCACTGCTGCTGCTCCTGGGAGGCGGGGGGAGCCCAGGGCCCTGCCGCCGCTGCTCCGGGCGGAGGGCAGCCCATGGCCCCACCGCCACCATTCCAGGCCAGGGGCAGCCCATGGCCTCATCGCCACCGCTGCTCCGTGTGAGAAGCGGTCCAGGGCCCCGACGCTCCAGGTGGGGTGGCCCGGGACCTGACCATCGCTGTTGCTCCTCGGGTGGGGGCAGCCCGGGGCCTGACGACCGCTGCTGCTCCTTGGGTGGGGACAGCCTGGGGCCCAACCACCACTGCTGCTCCTGGGATCAGTTGGCCGCCGGAGCAGCGTCCAGTGCCGCTGGCCCCAGGGCCGCCCCAACTGCTTGGGCAGCCCTAGGGTCAGCCGCACCAGCCGCTGCAGCTACGGAAGTCACAGAGGTCCTGGAAAGTCATGGAATCCATGATCTCCGTGAAAGACTTGCAGCCTTAATCATAATGTGATCTGGCACTGGAGACAAGTACAAATAATATTAATATTAGTAATTATAGGCTGAATGGAAACCCTAGGCATGGAGAAATTAAGTGACTTGCTTAGGCACAAAGGCAGAGTCTGAGGCCTGGACTAAACTACACAATTAGGTCAACGTAAGGCAGCTTACATCAACCTAAGTATGTCAGTGTACACACTACAGTCTTGTCCCGCTGATATAAGTGCCCTACTACACCAACAGAATAACTCCACCTCCACAAGAGACATAGGGCTTATGTCGGTGTAGTTAGGGCAACACAGTGCCTGTGTAGACACTGCATTATTTACATGCTCCATGCTGGAGCTGTGAAATTGACAAGAAAGCCAGGCAGCTAGAGCCTGGCTGACCCAGCTCCCCGCTCCCAGCCAGGCTGCTGCCCGGAGGCTCTCCACTCAGGGAGGCAAGAAGTCCTGGGCGGCTACCCCCTCCCCCCAGCCGGGAGCAGAGAGGCGAGAGCCCGGGGGGCAGCTGGGGTCCCGGGGTGCAGCTGGGGTCCCGGGGGGGAGCTGCTTGGAGCTGAGAGGCCTGGCTCTTAGCCCCCTCACACTGCTCCTCTTCAGTCAGTGGAAGCGCTCCTGGTGAGGACACACACTACCGACAGAAGGAGGGTAGTGTGGACATCAGCCACTGCCATAGGCGCCGACTTCCTCTCTATCCAGGGGGTGTTCGACCCCTCCCTCCGTCCCAGGCCTGCCCCCACTTCACCCAATTCCTCCAAGCACCCACCCCGCCTCTTCCCACCCCTACACCCCTTCCCCAAAAGCCCCACTCCCGGCCTGCCTCTTCTCTCCCCCTCCCTCCCAGCACTTCCTGCACACCGCGGAACAGCTGGGAGGTGCTCAGGGGAAGGGGAGTTTGCTGCCGGTGGGTGATAAGCGGAGCACCCATGGAGTCGGCGCCTATGGCGACAGCTGTAAGTCAACCTAACATAGGTCAACTTAGAGTTGTAGTGTAGACATGCCCTGAGGCAGAGCCAGCAATGGAACCCAGGTTTCATGCCCTAGCTTTCCCCAGTGTTACCATCTGTGTAAATTAATAAGAATCACTTGTTAGCCAACCAAGACTGAACACACCACCTCTTTAATACATCCAGTCTCAAACCACTTAGTCCGAATATAGTGTACCTTATGCTCCCAGCTGTCTTGCAACTAGAACTGGCTGATTAATGCTTCTGAGATGGAAAAATAACCCATGTACAGCAACATATCTATGCTAAATCACAGAGTTCTCCATTATGTATTTAATCCAACAGATAAAGATGGATAAACAACAAGAACATGTCCATATGAAAGGATCAGAGGACCCACCACTGGCTGAAATCATCATTAGTAAAGTGCAGATCACTGAGAGCAGTTCTTCATTTTCGGAATATGTTCTCATTGTCTTTAACAGAGAATTGATTCCTTCCTCACCAACTAGCATCTCCACATCCACATTCTGTTGTAGGGCTGTCAAAAGCAAAACATGGAACAGCATGAGGATGCTTCAGCAGCTTTCACTGAAGTCTGATTTTTCTGCTCCCAGCATAGGTATATCATGAAGCAAGCATCATTTGTTGACTTAACATAGACTATACTGTTATGTTTTCCCCTCTCTTCCTGAAATCAAACTGCTCTTTTTGTCTCATTTTCTGCAATTTTCATATGTTCCTTTGGGAAATTATGTCACAAAAATGAGAACAAGTAAAAGAAGAATGAAAAGGAGGTACAGTCTAGTTGTTTACATTATTTTTGCACAGGACATTTGTTTTTATTCACAGGCAACTTTAAACCTATGGGTTGCTCCTAGAGTTAATCATACTGCATCTTATACAGAAATTTTGTTAGCTACCAGGGCTATATTATCAAAAATGTGCCCCTAAATCGTATGCAGAAAGCACAATTGGAAACTGATCATTAACAAATTTCAAACTCTGCACATGAGCAATTACCCATTTTGCCCATTCAGTAGCTTTGCAAGCATATTCTGAGAATTTAACCATAGCACTGAACCACATCACTTGTTTATAAACTTTAGTAAAAATCTGCATGCAGGACTTGGGAATAAATGTACAAAAGCTTTCGTTCTTTAAAAGTCAACATTTATTAAAATAAATAAAAAGTAATTTGCTGCATCAATGAGGCCTCACATTTTAACAAGTTTAAGGGGTGCTGCTTTTTTAATTATATACAGAATCGGGGGAGGGCCTTTAACTTTTGAGGTCAACACAAGCTTTATAAATATGTTACAATGTCATGTACTGCATTAAGAATCTCTATTATTTGCAGTCTTTACAATGGAGCAAATGCTGGTATTTACATTCTTCCAAATGGAAGAACTTCTAAATTCAGTTGTGCAGAAAAACTTTTGCCTTAATTTACTGTTGGTTTCAGTTTACCTAGCAGGTGCCAAAGGAATATTTTCTGCATTTGAACTAGTTCATTCAAAGTTGAGACCAACTGGGAGATGAAAAAGCAAGAAATCTCATTTCCTCTTCCAACAAGTGGGAGAGGATGAGATCTACTAATTCTAAAAGCTTGAAGGACATAGGGCCAGATTTTCAAAGGCATTTAGGCACACAGAAGTGCAGATAGGCACCTAGTGGGATTTCAAAAAGTGCATAAACAGGTTAAGTGCCTAATTCCCAGAGATTTCAAAATCTGGCACATGGTGATCAAAAACACTCCATCAATTCACTAGCTACAGCTAATACTTCCTCTATTTAGTAAACCAGTTAGTTTTAAATGCAAAACATGATTTGAGAAACTTTTTTTTTCTTACATATGCAGCACAGTTAAGGTAGTTTTATTTAACTAGTAAAAAACTAATTTAAAATGTTGTTTTGGTTCATTTTAACTGCATTCTAATTTCCATCCAAATGCAGCTTGACACACATCATGAGTAAACAAAAATCATCTAGTAAATGGGAAATGTATCATTCATTATTTTCTATCATAAAAAAATAAAAATTAAGATTCTGAATAAATGTCTGTTTAAATAAATATGTATAGATATAGGGTATCCTCCTGGTGAGCAAATGGAAATACCAAATTTAATATAAAGGCTGTATTTAGTTGCAAATAAACAGGTTTTAATGATACCAGCTAATGAGAATCATCCTTCCTTTAGGAAAACTACTAAAAAATACAAATGCAAAACAAAATTAAATCAAGGTTTCTGGCTTGCTGATTTCTATCACTCTAATTTAAATCAAACCACCCACCCTAGAGAATCTGGACTTCCATTAAAGCTGGCTAAATCCCCATGTAACTATAAATTTACCCCTTAATATCTTAGTATGAATATTAATTGTCACCAAATCCATTTCAAATCTTGTTTACTACATGTAACAAGTTACTCAGTGTTTAGTATGGAACCTCATTACTGTACCTTGGCCAATAATGTCAAGCAGTAATCTGCAGCCATCTAATTGTAGCTCTAGAGAATCTATATGAGTCCTCATTGCACAAGTGACAGGATCCAGAAGTTCTAGCAAATACATTAAGGCTATGAAGAAAAGAATTGTTAGAGTCAACATTTAATAACTTAGCTGGTTTATATGCCTCCCACCTTCAATACAACATGGAGTTCCTAGTTTTAGGACAGATTTGGGTCCCCGTGCATGACATGGTAAGGCAGAGATGGTTAAACAATGTTCTTGATCTGAAAGAAAAGCTGTGCATATCAAGATGGAGCATTACACACTGATACCAGTAGTCTCGTGGGCACCTCCTCTGCATTAAAGACAAAAGCAGCCACAATCTTCCGTTTTGTTCAAGTTAGTTGTAGCCATCTTCCTCCTAGGAAGTAGTATTGCAGCTCTTGGTTGGCTACATTCTAAGTCAGTGGTTCTCAACCAGGAATACACATACCCCTCGGGGTACACAGAGGTCTTCCAAGGGCTACATCAACTCATCTAGATATTTGCTTCGTTTTACAACAGGCTACATAAAAAGCACTAGTGAAGTCAGTACAAACTAAAATTCCATACAGACAATGACTTGTTTATACTGCTCTATATTCTATACACTGAAATGTAAGTACAATATTTTTATTCCAATTGATTTATTTTATAATTATATGTAAAAATGAGAAAGTAAGCACTGTTTTAATAACAGTGTGTTGTGACACTTTTGTATTTTTATGCCTGATTGTGTAAGCAAGTAGTTTTTAAGTGAGGTGAAACCTGGGGATACACAAGACAAATCAGATTTTTGAAAGGGGTACGGTAGTCTGGAAAGGCCACTTTGAGAGCCACTGTTCTAAGTGACATGGGCTAGAATTCTGGTGTGGTAGTGCTGAGAAATTATATTTTTCAGACTCGGGGGGAGATTACTTCACTAGGTTTCTCAGTCCTAGCAAGTCTTTGGGCAGCGTTAGCTATTCCAAAAGGGAGCAACAAACTTGTCCAAGGGAACTTAGATGTCCTCTTGGAACCCATTCTAAGCATTCTCAGAGACAGAGCCATCCCTTGGGTACAGCGAATCGGGGCGATTGCCCCAGGCCCACACTTTGGGCCTGCGCTTCATTAGGAGGCGGGCAGAGAGGTGAGGCGGACGGGTGAGCGGGGTGAGGAGGCGAGCGGCAGGTGGGCGAGCGAGGAGGAGCCCCCCTACCAGAACCTCCCCCTCTCCTCAGCGCCTGCTACCCGCTGGCGAGCCCTGCCGATCAGCGCCTCCCCCTCCCTCTCACCGCCTACCACCTGCTGCGGATCAGATGTTTCGTGGCATCAGTAGGTGGGGGGGGGGGAGAGGAGCAAGAGCGCAGCGCGCTCAGGGGAGGGGGCGGAAGTGGGCGGGGAAGAGGCAGGGCGGGAAGAGGTGGGGAGGGGTGGGAAGAGGCAGGGCAGGGGCAGGGCCTTGGGGGAAGGGGTGGAGTGGGGGCGGGGCCTGGGCAGAGCTGGGGGGAGCACCCCCTGGCAGATTAGAAATTTAGCACTGATGTCCCGGGCCCCGCACCCCCCTAGGGACGGCCCTGCTCAGAGATGTAAATATCTACTGTAACAAATTCAGCTTATATCACTGCTAGCAAGGGTCTATTCATGCCTAGTCAAACTGTTATTTATCACAGAGTCACATTATTTCAATGGGAAAAGCCACTTTTCAGTTGAAATGCTTCACAGATATTGGTAGATGACAGGAAATCACCATGTTCTTTCCCCTTATTGCTTACAGTCCTAGAGCATTAAATCATTATACTTTAATATCTACCCAGATCTTAAACATCTCTATTTTTTAATATCAAAGGTCAATGCCAGTATTAAAAGTGATAATCGTTTGAAATAAGAGTACTGTTAGTGGAATTTGTTTAACAGAATGAATTTAGAGTTCATAAAAGCATTAGTCTAATAGCACTGCAGAGAGCTAGGCATAATGAAGGGAGAACTTATGTAACCTTCCAACACACAGCTCTGCCAAAGCACTAAAATTCCAACCTGCATCACTCTCTGTTATTACAGTCCTGGGACCCCACAGGTCTCTGACAACACACACCAGCCCTGACGTACAGCATCTTTGGTCCTGCTCCACAAACGCAGCTCTGCCAGTGCACTCCAATCCTGTCCAACAATATCTCTGCTATTTCAGTCCAAGCTTTTCCCAAACAGAGATAGATAGATGTGCACAAGTGGAAAATAGGTTGGGACCAATCAAACTCATTTTCACTTGTAGCCAACAGCAGAATTTGAACCCAGTTTTCTAACAGGCTAATGTACTATTATGCAATATGTTTTCCCACTATTTTCAGAGTAAAAGCAGTGAGCAAGAATATAGTAAAACAAAATGCTGAAATATTGACCCATACCATTTTCTTCTCCTAGTAAGCTGGCAAGGCGCTTTATGGCTTTTGCTTGAGCCTGCTCTATGTCCAAGTAAGTCTGCATAAATTCTGCATAAAACAAGACATCAGAAGTTTCTGCTAAGTCATTTTGCACAAATATTTACAGGATACGTTCATAATTTTATTGTTTTCCTATTCTGTGCCCAGCCTGTGAATTCACATAATTGAAAGAAATTCAGCTTGAGACTCAGTTAAAAAAAAAAAAACAAAAAAAAAGTGTAAAACATTTAAAAATTGCAAATCTCATGCAAAATAGTAGGTGTGTTGATATATGAACAAAAAATAATAAAATTTTTTCCCCACCTATGCACATGGCATTTCCTGTTTTGGGGAATTGTAGCACTGAACTAAAAAGGCTTTAGTGGTTTTACACACACTCTTTAGCTTGTGCAGAGCAGATTTTACAGAACTGAAGCTAATTCCATCCCAATCCCTAACCAAAGCCCAGGGTCCGATCCCCAGATAACATCAATTGGTATAGGCCACTAAAGCCAATGGAGCTATGCTGATTCCACCAACTGTGGATCTGATCTCATATATATGTAACATTTTCTTCAGTCAGTCTTCTCTGTGATGCTGAAAATCTCAGGAGGGAAAAAACTAGGGCTCTAACAGGTTTATGGAGCTGCTAAGCTTTAGAAACTAGAAATATTTATTATTGAATATGGCAACCCTCTACAAGACACATGTCGTTCGGATTTTTTACGAAGAAAATGTACATAAGATCTTTCTTGCTGAATATATTTAGGAGCCCCACAAACCTTGTAATGTTGCTATCTCATAAAATTCTTTGAGAGTTTGTAGCTTAAGTATAATTTATGTTCTTTTAAAACACTCCAATATGAAATGATGTTAATAAGAAAATGTAAAGATATGTAAGTAAACAAAATTCTTTAAAGGAGCAGCTTTTTCTCTTTAGCCAATAATGCATTCTAACTGAATATCTTAATAGGTTTAACTGCCATAAACTAGAATGCAATCAGAGTGGGGAGTTCCCAGGAACTTCAGAACAGTCTGACAAAAATTATTTTAATAACACTCTCTCACCCTATTCAGACAGAACATTAGATAAGAGCTACTACTCTTATGAAGTTATAAGACTGGTGACACAGAGATTCTTGTCCAAAACAGTGATGCATTTCATTTCAGGTACAATGGGGTAGTCATCCATTCATTCATTTCTGTAGTATAATACATCCTAAATGGAACACACACGGCATTTCAATAGAAAACTAATGTCAGTATCTCAAAAGCAACTTATTTTCCTGATTACCTAAAACACTTCCAATTCCTCCTTCAAGGAGCATATCTAAAATTGCTGAAGGCAAGGTTTTTTCCTGTTTTGATAAAGAGGAACCAGCAAGAGTCAAACATTCCATAACATATGGAATATCAACCAGATCCCTAGAGAAGGAGAGAGAAAGAATGTCAACAAAGTTTTCCTATTGATTTTGGTGTGTTTTGTTGGAAGTGGAAGTGTTAATTAGTGGATAAAATAGGGTTCTGGTTATCAGGACTCCTAAATTCTGATCTTGACTCTTTCACTGATTTTGTGACTGTGGGCAAGTCAGTTAACCCTTGTGCCTCATTTTACCTACCTGGAAAGTGGACATAACACTAACCAATCTCATGATGTACTCTGAGGCTTAATTAATTAATGTTTGTAAAGAGCTTTGAGATTCTCATATAAAAATAAAACCTTAGTCAATGCAGACATTTTCTGAGAATGCAAACTATATACAGACTGCAGCCCAGCCTCCAAAAGATTGTCTATAACTTTGTTTTATAACATAATTCTCCAACAAAACCAACTATCCCTTCTGATCAGAGAATCTCTGGTCAGTGTACACTGGAACACTAATTTCAAAGATGGGGAAACCAAGGCACTGATAGGTGAAGTGACTTCTTACAGCAAGGTAGCACAGCAAGTCAGTTGCAGAGATAGAACCTAGGAACTCTGGCTCTCAGTCCCCTAATCTAAACACTGAAGAACACTCCCTCTTACAGCAGATAGGGGCCCGGAGGAAGCAAAAAACAGAATAGAGCAAGGGGAAATGTCCAGAACTCACTTTGCTGAGGGTCTCATACTGGGCTGAATCTGTAGCATCGTAAGTAAAATTTGAGACAAAGGCAGAGTATCTTTATTCCCTTTCTTCATTAACGTCAGAACTCTCTCAAGACTACTGGTGTCCTTTCTAATATCCTGCAGTAATGAATTTGTGTCTTTCACCTGTAAAGAACAGAATACTAGTAGACTCTGTATGTATTCACTTTGTGGATCTCTTGGGAGTTTTTGACACATTACATTCCCAGTGAAATGTTCGTGGTACTCTCAACAGTACATACATTCAGAAAGAAGCAGGTCATCATGTCTAGTAGAATACATCCTAAAGACCAAATGTCGGACTTCTCACTAAAGGAAAAGCAGAGTGCTTCAGGGGACATCCAGGATTTAGAGTCAGGATCTGTTGAAATAAATGTCAGATCAGTAATTGTTTTGACACTGTGTAATGTTTTGCTTTGCTTGCATGGGTGTGACCTGTAGATAGCAGTTTCACATCAAAGTACAATTCAGTCAGAAAGATTCTACAGTGAGTTAGATTTTTACTGGTGATACTCCATAGAAGATTCTAAGAAGAACCGCACTACAATTAATGACAAACAATTCACCAAGATCTAACTTTCTATACATTATTGCAAATAGTCTTTCAAATTCAGTGTAGCTTAGAGCCATCTCATGACTCCCAAAATATTAAAAGATCTATTTTTCCAACTGTGACAGTGGTTTGTATGATGTGAGCATCTGTAACTGTAACTGGACAGACAACTTCCAAACTCATTTTAAACGCACCACAAAACTGCGATCAGACAGTAACAATTATTTTTTATCACCGCTGAGCAAGATTCAGACCAATTATGTAAATGTGAAAGTTTTCATAACACAATCTATTTAATTCTTGATCTTTTACAATGATCTTGCTTGCTGCTTAGAAGAAATAAAATGTAATCGGAAAACACCTTTTTTTGCCTTCTTTATTTTGTAATAAAATTAAACTGTTAAAAAACACAGTTGAATCTCTTTAAAAAAAACCCCACAGAATACTAAAATATTAAAATTAAATAGCTACCTTCTTCCACTCTTATCTTCCATTTCATTTCATCAGTCATAAGAGTTTCTACACTGAAATCGCAAAGCATGAAGGATACTTCATCAGTTAAAAGGATGTTAGACGGTTTGAGGTTTCTGCAACACACAGAAATGGTTTTTATCAACAAGTTAAATCAGAGCGTAATGATGTATAGCTACAGGCTTCTTATCTCTGAGACCTTTTACATAAAAAAGATGGGCTTTGTTCTTAAGTTACAAATTATAATGAAATAAAATACATTTATTTTCCTTTTTTACTGTGAATAAGGCAAAAATCTTTAAAAATTGACACTGGAAGCCTCAACTTTATCCGAACATTGAGCATGACACTAGTCCTTTTTCCTCTCTTATTCCTGTTAAGTTTGTTTACTCTTTTAGTTTATGAAAGGCACAGCTCATTTGCCAAGGTTTATGCAGGATTATAGACTGAAATATGAATGTGAATGAAGTGTCAATATTCCAGTATTTCATTAACTACAGGATCATGAACACTTTACAAACATTCAAGAGTTAAGTTATTCTCATTTTGTGGATGGATAAATCTGGGGAGAACATACGAGTTAAATGACTTGCTTAGAGTGACAACAATCAGATGCAGAAATAGAATCCAGGAGTATAACTTCCACTCCCCTGCTTTAATCAATAAATTCACATCAGACTACTGTCTCTGAAGTCAAACACCACCGAGGGAAAAAAATGGTGGGAGAAGGAGAAGAGCACTGATTAACACTCATACAGTAAATCTACTAATAATCTATCTCTGCTATAAACTCATTTTGATACTCCATCTTATCTCTGAAACGCCTCACCATGCCACCAAAATGTACAATGTCTTGCTTCTCAAGTGAATAGTTGTGCTGAAGTGATAGTTCAGCTGCAAACAGGCAAAGGTCTAGCAGTTAAAGAGGCTGGAATTTCTATTTACCTGTGAAAAACATTTTGTTTGTGTATATAAAACAAAGCATCCACCATCTGCCCCAGGAACTTCTGAAGCACCTATGGACAGAAATATACATGAAAATGTAGTACACAAAGAATAACTTCATGGTGAAATAAGACATGTCTAATCACATGAAGGCTTCTTAGTTTGATACAGGCTCCAGTCCAAGTGGGAATACTATACTCCTTTCACTTTCTGCAAATCAATTAACCTGCACATCACCCCCGTGAATTAGGCACTATTATTATCTCCATTTTTCAGAAGAGTAAACTAAGGCACGGAAAGGTTGAGTTGCCCAGGAATAGAAAATTATATAAGTGATAGGTATTATTATTGTGATTGTACAATGACTCAGTGGCAGAGCTGGGAAGAGAATTCAGAAGTCTTAAGTCCTAGTCTCCTGCTTTAAGCAATAAATACTATACTTTGATGTCTCTGGGGTGCAGCTAGGAAAGGACAGAAGGTAGTGAAAAAAGTTAAAGGCAGTGAGATTACTTTACATTTCAATAAGATGCCTTTTCTGTAATTTTTTACCATATCTTCTACTTTCTCTCGCTTCTTCCTTTTTGCCTTGATCAGAGATGAAAGGTCTCCTTGGCTTGAGTGCTGCATCACCAGACAAAGAAATAGAGATGAAATCTGCAACAGAGATTAGATCGACATTATTCAGTCACTTGGAGGTAATGACATATGCAGCAACAAAGATACAAATCAGCTGTTGGGCCTTGCAAATAGATTTGGTGCACACCATGGAAGTATGTGATGGGATTATTTGTCTCCCACAAAAGAGTCAATATTTACTTTTGTCTACTTAAACATCAAACATCTGCTTCTAACAGGAACAAGTACCTTTGAAACCATATGAGCAGTTCCACTCAAACATAAATTCTACTGAATTCAATGAGATTTAGGCCCAAGTAGCATGCAAGATTGTGTCCACAAAGAAATAGCTCTGGCCTTCTGGCTTCTTTATGGGCCAATTTTTAAGGTGCTTTATTCAGACATGCAAGGAACCGCAGCAGCTTAAAAATTGTGTATCTGTTGCATATGGGAACAAAAGGAGAAGACACTGCATACAGATACAAAGACACTGGGATGCAACACAGCCATGTTGTGCTGCCCCAATGGTAGTGTAACTTAGTTGCCTTCACAGAAGGAAGCAACAGAGGGTCCTGTGGCACCTTTAAGACTAACAGATGTATTGGAGCATAAGCTTTCGTGGGTGAATGCCCACTTCGTCAGACGCATGTAATGGAAATTATGCTCCGATACATCTGTTAGTCTTAAAGATGCCACAGGACCCTCTGTTGCTTTTTACAGATCCAGACTAACACGGCTACCCCTCTGATACTTCACAGAAGGAGGCTCAATCACAGGCCCAGAAACCTTAAGTGTTCCCTCACCTAGCTACAGAAACTTTGACATGCCAGTTTGTGCGCTCCACTCTAACAGGCAGTATTTCATTCTCACCTTATTATCCCAGGTGATAAACAATTCTTTGTAAATGCAGATGTTTGAATGCTGAAGTTTCAGCAGATCCATTGCCTGTTGGAAAGACAGCAAATGAAACCCAAAGAGTTTACTCTGAGTGAGCTGCAACAATCCACATGCTTTTTTCTCCTGGACTAAGAAAATGTCTTCAAAACACAGAACACAAAGGGCAGATATCTGACTGTCAATCATGCCATGTCCCTGTCAAAGTAGCCAGGTCCAGTTCTTTTTCTTTTTCAGTTCTATTTCACATTTGCAATCAAAGGTGTGTCAATAAAAGTGAAATACAGTACTTAAGTGAAGCTCTACTCTAAATATAACTCTGTACAAATAGCATATTGGGGTTCAACATTTGTCATCTCGCAAAGGATCAGTTCACAAGTAAAAAGATTGTTTCCTAACAGCCAGCCTTACAAACTCATCCTGGAATTTGAAAGTCAAACTGGGTTATTTCTGGTACACCCATCATCTGCAGTAACCCTGAGTCAACTGTGAATTGCAGGTGTAACTAAAATGCACAAAGTGTCCATCTCTCTAACCCTGGCCACGAGGTAAAGTCTCAAGGTAAAGATCCTGCAATTGGAACTTACTTAAAAATTCTGTTGTTGATGTATGAGCTGGAACAGATTTCAGCTCACTCTCCCAAAGCTGTGCTCATGGCACTACAGAGCTAAAAGGAGTAAAAACAAAGGGCCAAATTCCCAGCTAGTATAACTTTATTTACTTTAATAGAACTACACCAGCAGACAATTTGGCTCAAACTTTGGTCAGTAAAGTCAGCAGATCTAATTCTGAATACACACAGGGGGCTGGTATATTGAGTAGAATAGGCAATTTTAATTACTTTCTGACCACAACTAAATATTAATTGGTTTTAAACATTCTCACTCATTGTGAACAGCAGGTGCTAGGTGCAATGAACACCAGCAGTGACACTAGACCAGGGGTAGGCAACCTATGGCAGGCGTGCCAAAGGCGGCACGCGAGCTGATTTTCAGTGGCACTCACACTGCCCGGGTCCTGGCCACCGGTCCGGGGGGGCTCTGCATTTTAATTTAGTTTTAAATGAAGCTTCTTAAACATTTAAAAAACCTTATTTACTTTACATACAACAATAGTTTAGTTATATATTATAGACTTATAGAAAGAGACCTTCTAAAAACGTTAAAATGTATTACTGGCATGCAAAACCTTAAATTAGAGTGAATAAATGAAGACTCGGCACACCACTTCTGAAAGGTTGCCAACCCCTGCACTAGACCATTCTGTTGTGAATATCTGTGCTCTGTTGGAACAATAATTATGATATTAGCAATATTGCTGACTTACTATTATGTCTTATTTATTAAATACTGAAGGAGGTATGCACAACGCAGGTACCATAGAAGGGAAAGGCCAGTGAAGACATTCCCATCAAGAAATTTCTAGATCCATGGGCACAAAAATCAACACAACATTAAAATAACATGTACTATGTAGAAATTGAGTCATAAGTAATAAACAGGACTATCAACAGACCACTCTCCATCCTTCCAGCTAATGATCAAACAAACAGATGGGCTTTGCACTGTGCCCTAAAGGTAAACAAACACAGGCTCTGAAGTGAGGGCCATCCATTGAGAACAGCTGGCCACTTAAACCCAAACATTCAAGTCTAAGGATTGTTACTAAGAATTCATAGGCTGAACTGAGTTGCTGGAGTCTTAGGGTATGTCTACACTACAATAAAATACCCATGCCTGGCCCGTGTCAGCTGACTCAGACCCCTGGGGCTTCGGCTGCTAAACTATAAAGTTGTGTAGATTCAGGCTCAGGCTGGAGCCCAGGCTTTGGGACCCCTCGAGGAGGGAGGACAAGACAGTTTATGGGTAGTCAAGGCCCAAATCAGGTAGGGCTATTTATATTTTCAAATTATTGCTGATAAAGGATTTTTCTAAGATAAGACCCTGTTTAAGATAAGACCCTGCTCCTTCTGAATTAGACTAGTAAAAAAAGACTGCATTGCTACCTCCTTCAGGGCTTCATTTGCTTGTTGTTCATCAATGCATTCAACCTGTACCAAACAAACAAAAGACAACGATAACAATATAACAAAAGACATGGATGAGAATATAATACAGAGGTGGCCAAGCTTTATGACACTGAGCATCGCATAAGTAACCCCACCAGGAGAATTTGCACCCAATTTGTATGTATCATCAGTAACTGTACACTGCAACCCTAATATCTACTGTTGGGTGCCTGCTGACGTAATATAAACTGTATAAACTTTGTGTTGTACACAAAGCAACTGGCTGAATTAAAATCCTGTTCGTACAAAAAAAAAAAGAAGAATAACATTGATTGCTGGTTGGGTCCAGCAGCAATAAAAAGCTGCAGTTGATCAGCTTTGTCCTTCCCCTGCCATGAGAGTGACAGTGAGTTAGGGGAAGAATGGACTAGGAGGGACTGAATAAGTCTTTTCCACCTTCAACCTTTATGCTCCGGTAATCGATCTGAATGCAACTGCAGTTCAAAACAGTGTCATAATTCAAAGTATAAGCCAACCCAGTGTCTGTGACGGTTGGTATGCTGGGCTACGTTACTCTCAGGCAAATGGGCCTAGGGAGATGTACTTGAGAGCTGCATCTCGGTGTCATGGCAACCAAGTTCTCACCTGCTTCAGCACATATTTCCTCCCAGCACCTTCTTTCTCCGTTTTTAACTCCACCACCAGCATTGTGCCCAGAGCCCCGGGCTCCAGCTGCTCCAGCACCTACGTGGGGGGAACAGGCATTGATAAACATGGGGGAACCTGGGCACAAAATCACCTCAGAGCCTCCCTCACTGTGCAGCCCCCAGCTCCCCCTGGGCAACAGGCACCCTCAGTTCCCCCT